TTTGACTTGATACCTTTCCTCCTTTTGTGTTTTATCAAACATCATACAGGGTACAAAACACCGGGTGGACAACTCTAGCAAATTGCTAATTTTAGTCTCACCAGCGACCAAAATAATACTAATCAAGAAACAAATAGCATAACACCAGATGGGTGTTCCCAAATACAGAGGTAGCAATATGTAAAATGAAATTATTTTCGTTACAGTGTAAGGTTATTTTTTTCAACATGGCGACGTTGGCGATCTCTCCCCGCTCTGGCTAATCTCAGGTCGCAGAGAGAGCGCGGCGTGAGCAACAAACAAAATGACCTACTTTGAAAAAAAGTACCTGATGCCACCATGTTTACTTTTACTGCTCAGTATTTCTCTGCTGTGTCCAATAATTTCAAAACGCAACATTCGCAATAACAGCTTTGTATTCCTGTTGTGTAGCAGCAATTTTGGGGCGATGGGCGTTCGCATTAGTTTTAATTTGGGGTCTTCGGAGGATTTTATTCATACATTATGTAAGTGTACGTGTGTGTGCAATTACTAGTATCAACTCAGACAAACTTTGATGCTACCGTATTAATTAACTAATGCGAACTATTAAGGGTACTACATACTGGTCAGGCCTAAACTACTAGTACTAGTAGTACGTTCAACTTTTTACAACTTTGCGTATAGATTTTAGGCTGGTCAAAAAGTGCATTGTAGTACCCTTATACGCCGGTAGATGGCGCACATAGTTTAGATCTGACCAGTAATGCCGTACCTGTACACACCGGTAGGTGGCGCACAGCAGATGTCGCTACAACAACTTTCTAGGTTCTGTCAAAACATCGTAATGTATTTGTTACCTCCGTGGTTGGGGTACCTTCGTTTAGCGTGTGTGGTTTTATATTAGTTTACGGTTGATGTTAGGTTCTGAGAGGTATGGGCGCCTTTTGTGTGTTTCATAATCACACTATCATTTTGTATTTAACAGGTCCAGAACAGCCTTTATGACTGGATACTTTCCTTACCATGTTGGTATGCAGGTGAGTCGTGTAATATTCTCGTATACGGGTAGCATTAAAGCATTATCGTATCAGTAGTGTATCTTTTGTCTCCACTTTTCTACATACGTTTCTTATGTGTCTGTTAAGTCTTGACATGTACCTTGCCCGTCGAGGCATGAATGTACAATAAATGTATTTCATTTAATATATAAACGGGAGCTATAGCGAACGAAAAAGTGTCAAACAAATTAGACTCTAGAAATAGAAAATATGTGAGGTTTTGTGTGTTGTGTTTGTTAGCACATGGCCATGCTTCCGGAGCAGCCATCTGGGGTCCCGTCACATTTCCCCTTCCTACCGGAGAAGCTGAAGGAGTTGGGGTATGCTACTCATGTGGTGGGCAAGTAGGTTTGTTATGTTGCTATGTAGATCATGCTTGACTTATTTGACTAATATAGATAATGCTTAAAATGCGCAATTCAGCCTCTTTGCATATTAGCAAAGGAAGCTGCCATTTGTTTTGATGTAAAATGAACGTCAATAAACACAATATATACGCCCGCTCGCATTAGTTTATTAATACGGTAGCATCAAAGTTTGTCTGAGTTGATACTAGTAATTGCACACACACGTACACTTACATAATGTATGAATAAAATCCTCCGAAGACCCCAAATCAAAACTAATGCGAACGCCCATCGCCCCAAAATTGCTGCTACACAACAGGAATACAAAGCTGTTATTGCGAATGTTGCGTTTTGAAATTTGTACATAACTATTTTTAC